AGCAAGGGTTCAGAACTGGACTGAGGCTGAGATTACTGAAATGACAGAGGTACTCTTCAGAATGTGGATAAAAACAAACTTTGCTAAGCTAAAGGAGCACATTGTAACCCAATGCAAGGAAGCTAAGAATCATGATAAAACAACACAGGAGCTGACAGCCAAAATAGCTAATACAGAGAATAACATAACCAACCTGATAGGGCTAAAAAATACTAAAAGAATTTCACAAGCAATCACAAGTATCAATAGCAGAACTGACCGACTGGAGGAAAGAATCTCAGAGTTTAAAGACTGCCTTTATGAAATAAGACAGGCAGACAAAAATAGAGGAAAAAGAATGAAAATGAATGAACAAAACCTGTGAGGAACAAGAGATTATAAAAAGAGACTGAATCTGTAACTAACTGGGGGTACCTGAAAGAGACGCGGGGAGAATGGAACCAATTTGGAAAACGTATTTCAGAATATCATCCAGGAGAACTTCCCCAACCTAGCCGAAGACACTAAAATTCAAATTCAAAAAGTGCAGAGAACCCCAGTGAAATACTCCATGAGAATATCATCCTCAAGACACATAATAATCAGATTCTCCAAAGTCAAAATGAAAGAAAAAATGTTAAGGACAGCCAGAAAGAAAGGCCAGATCACCTACAAAGGGAAGCCCATCAAACAAACAGTGGACTTTTGAGCTGAAACCCTACAAGCCAGAAGAGATTGGAAGCCAATATTCAACATGCTTCTAGAAAAGAAATTCCAACCCATAATTTCATATCTTGCCAAACTAAAGTTCATAAACAGCACTAAACTTAAACGTAATCCGGCTAAATTCCACAATTGAGACACAAAATGGAAAGTGGGATAGAATCAATACCCATCTCACATGCAAAAGACACACACAGGCTCAAAATAAAGGAATGAAGTAAAATTTACCAGCAAATGGAAAACAGAAAAGAGCAGGGGTTGTAATTCCAGTTTCTGAAAAAACAGACTTTAAACCAACAAATGTCAAGAAAGACACAGAAGGGCCTTACATAAAGGTAAAGGGCTCAATTCAACAAGAAAAGCTAACTCTATATACAACCAATATAGGAATACTTATATTCATAAGGCAAGTTCTTAGATACCTTCAGAGATACTTAGCCTCCCACACAATAATAGTGGAAGACTTTAACACTCCACTGACAATATTAGATCATGGAGATAGAATATTAACAAAGATATTCAGGACCTGAATTCGCCTCTGGATCAAGTGGACCTGATAGGTATCTACAGAACTCTCCACCCAAAAACAAGAGAATATATTTTGTTTTCATCACAACTCAGCACTAACTCTAAAATTGATCATATTGTCGGAAGTAAAACACTCCTCAGCAAAAGCAAAAGAACTGAAATCATAAATTCTCTGTCAGACCACAGCATAATCAAATTAAAAACCAAAATTAAGAAATGCCCTCAAAACCATACAACTACATGGAAACTGAATGACCTGTTCTTGAATGACTTTTGGGTAAATAATGAAATTCAGGAAGAAATCAAGAAGTTCTTTGAAATTAATGAGAACAAAGATGCAACATACCAGAATCTCTGGGACACAGCTAAAGCAGTTGTATTAGGTTGTCTTCAAACTGTTATAAAGATATTACCTGAGACTGGGTAATTTATAAACAAAGGAGATTTAATTGACTCACAGTTCCACCTGGCTGGGGAGGCCTCAGGAAATTTACAATTATGGTGAAAGGTGAAGCAGACATCTTCACAGGTGACAGGAAAGAAGAGAAGTGTACAGAAAGAACTGTCATACACTTGTAAAACCATCAGATTTTGTGTCAATTCACTCACTAATATGGTTGGGCTATGTCCCCACCTGAATCTCATCTTGAATCATAGCTCCCATAGTTCCCCATGTTACCGGAGGGTCTCAGTGGGAGGTAATTGAAACATGGGGGCAGATGTTTCCAGTGCTGATTGTCTGATAGTGAATAAGTCTCATGAGATCTCATGGTTTTAAAAAGGAGAGTTTCCCTGCACAAGTTCTATTCTCTTGTCTGCCGCCATGTGAGATGTGCATTTCACCTTCTGCCATGATTGTGAAGCCTCCCCAGCCACATGGAACTGAGAGTCTATGAACACTGTTTTTCCTTATAAATTACCCAGTCTTGGTTATGTCTTTATTAGCAGTGTGAAAATGTACTAATACACTCACTATCACAAGAACAGCATGGGTAAAACTGTCCCCATGATCCAATGACCTCCCACTAAATTCCTCCTTCGACATGTGGGGGTTATGAGGATTACAATTCGAGGTGAGATTTAGGTGGGGACACAGAGCCAAACCTTATCAGCAGTTTTGCCCACAGCAAAAAGCTAGAAAAATCTCAAGTTAACAACCTTACATCACAACTAAAAGAACTAGAGAACAAAGAGCAAACAAACCCCAAAGCTAGCAGAAGATAAGAAATAACCAAGATTAGAGGTGAACTGAAGAAGACAGAAAAACAAAAACCTTCTAAAAATCAACAAATCCAGGAGTTGGTTTTATACAAAAATTAGTAAACTAGAGAGACCATTAGCTAGGCTAACAAAGAAGAGATAAGATTCAAATAAATACAATCAGAAATGATAAGGGGAATTATCAACACTGACCCCACATAAATGCAAATAAGCATAAGAGAATATTATAAACATCTCTATGCACATAAACTAGAAAATCTAGAAGAAATGGATAAATTTCTGGATACATATACCCTCCTAAGACTGAAGAAAAAAAAATTTTTGAATCCCTGAATAGACCAATATCCTTGATGAATATCGATGCAAAAATCAAAATCAAACTGGATCCAGAAGCACATCAGAAAGTATGCATATCATGATTAAGTAGGTTTCATCCTCAGGATGCAAGGTTGGTTTAACATATGCAAATCAATAAATGTGATTCATCACCATAAACAGAAATAAAGACAAAAAACAAATGATTATCTCAATAGGAGCAGAAAAGGCCCTCAATGTAAGTCAAAATCCTTTCATGTTAAAAACTCTCAATAAACTAGGTATCGAAGGAATATGCCTCAAAATAATAAGAGATATCCATAACAAACCAACAGCCAATATCATAATGAATAGGCAAAAGCTGGAAGCATTCCCCTTGAAAACTGGCACAAAACAAGGTTGTCCTCTCTCACCATTCTAATACAACATAGTATTGGAACTTCTGGCCAGGGCAATCAGGCAAGAGAATGAAATAAAGGTATTTAAATAGAAAGAGAGGAAGCAAATTATCTTTGTTTGCAGATGACAGGATCCTAAATCTAGCAAACTCCATAGTCTCAGCCCAAAAGTTTCTTAAGCTGATAAGCAACTACAGCAAAGCCTCAGCATACAAAATCAAGAGACAAATTTGCTAGCATTTTTATATACCAGTAACAGGCAAGCCGAGAGCAAAATCACAAGTAACTCCCATTCACAATTACCACAAAGAGAATAAAATACCAAGGAATACAGCTTATAAGAGAAATGAAAGACCTCTTCAAGGAGAACTGCAAACCACTGCTCAAACAAATCAGAGATGACACAAACAAATGTAAAAACATTCCATGCTCATGGGTAGAAAAGAATCAATATCATGAAAATGATCATAATGCACAAAGCAATTTAGATTCAATGCTATTTCTATTAAACTATTATTGACATTCTTCCAGAATTAGAGAAAACTACCTTAAAATTTATATCGAACCAAAATAAAGCTAAAAATAAAAGCCCAAATAGCCAAGGCAATCCTAAGCAAAAAGAACAAATCTGGAGGTATCACACTACCCAAGTTCAAACTACACTACAGGGTTACAGTAACAAAAATATCATAATACTGGTACAAAAACAGGCACATAGGCTGACGAAACAGAATAGAGAACCTAGAAACAAGACCAAACACCTACAATCATCTGATCTTCAACAAACCTGACAAAAACAAGGAGGGGGTAAGAATTTTCTATTTAATAAATTGTGCTGGGAGAACTGGCTAGCCATATGCAGAAAATTGAAATGGGACCCTTTTGTTACACCATATACAAAAATCAACCCAAGATGGATTAAAGACTTCAGTGAAAACCGAAAACTATAGAACCCTAGAAGAAAATTTAGGCAATGCCATTCAGGACATAGGCACAGGCAAAGATTTCATGATGAAGACACCAAAAGCAATTGCAACAAAAGTAAAAATTGACAAATGGGGTCTAGTTAAAAAGCTTCTGTACAGCAAAAGAACCTGTTAAGAGAGTAAACAGATGATCGGCAGAATGGAAGAAATTTTTTGTAATTTATGCATCTGACAAAGCTCTAATATCCAGCATCTATAAGGAACTTAAACAAACTTACTAGAAAAAAAAAACACATTAAAAAGTGGAATAAGAACATGAACATAAACTTCTCAAAAGAAGACAAACATGTGGTCAGCAAATAATCATGCAAAAAAAGCTCAGTAGCACTGATTATTACAGAAATGCAAATCAAAACCACGAGCTACCATCTCACACCAGTCAGAGCAGCTATTAAAAAGTCAAAAAAATCACACCTGTATTCCCAACACTTTGAAAGGCCAAGGTGGGCAGATCACTTGAGACCAGGAGTTCAAGACCAGCCTGGCCAACATGTTGAAACTCCGTCTCTAATAAGAATACAAAAATTAGCCGGGCATGGTGGCATAGACCTGTAATCTCAGCTACTTGGGAGGCTGAGGCTCGAGAATCACTTGAACCCAGTAAGCGGAGGTTGCAGTGAGCCGAGATCATACAACTGCACTTCAGCCTGGGTGACAGAGCAAGACTCTGTCTCAAAAAAAAAAAAAAAAAAAGTCTAAAAAAAAACCAACGCTGGCAAGGTTTTGGAGAAAAAGGAACACTTTTACAGTACTGGTGGGAGTGTAAAGTAGTTCAACGCAGAAGACAGTGTGGCAAAGACCTAGTGTGGCAAAGCCAGTGTGTCTCAAAGACCTAGAGACAGAAATACCCTTTGACCCAGCAATTCCTTTACTGCGTATATACCCAAGTGAACATAAATTGTTCTATTATAAAGACACATCGCATGTGTATGTTCACCACAGCACTATTCACAATAGCAAAGACATGGATTCATCCTAAAGACCCATCAATGATAGGTTGGATAAAGAAAATGTGTAGATATATACCACTGAATACTATGCAGCTATAAAAAAGAACAAGATCATGTTTTTTGCAGAGACATAGAGGGAGCTGGAGGCCATCATCCTTAGCAAACATATACAAGAACAGAAAACCAAATACTGCATTTTCTCACTTATAAGTGGGAGCCAAATGAGAACACATGGAAACATTGAGGGGAGCAACACACACTGGGGCTGTCAGAGGGTAGCTGGTGGGAGGAAGGAGAGGATCAGGAAGAAGAGCTGGTGGATTCCGGGCTTAATACCTGTGAGATGGGATGATGCGTGTAGCCAATCACGGCACATGTTTACCTATTTAACAAGCCTGCACATCCTGCATATATACCCCTGAACTTAAAAGCTGAAAATTAAAAAAGAGAAAACCTGATAGCAATTACTGTTACTGTTGGAGGACAGACTCATTTACCAAACACAGGCTCTACTGACTGAAAATATTATTAACTATATAAGTTATATAAAATGTGCTTCTTTAATGTTTGAAGATGATAGGATTGGTGCTATCTCTGTTCATTTCTCTAACCCAATCTGGTTATAAGAGCTAATCTGTATTATCCTTATTTATTACTTGTATACATTTACTTAAGTAACTTGACTGTAATATTAATAAGGCAATTATATTCAAAACTCCAAGATCAGAACTTTTTTCTAGAAACACCCTATGGTGCTGATTTTGTCATTTGGCTACATTTTTCATTTCCTAGCAGTTATTTAGATGTAATATAGACAAGAATATAGCACAGAGATGTGATCCTTGTCTTTGATCAGAGATAGGTCGTAAAGATTAACCTATAACAAAATTGTATGTTTCATATTACGGTAGAAAATTTAAGCATAAAAAGTCTGAAAAGTGTACAGCAAAAAAATAGATGTGGTAGGAAAAATTAGATGTACCTTCTCATTATGGCTTATTGCTTTGATGGACGGCAGTAGCCCTGAGAAATTCCTGACGATTCCAGAATCTTGAGGACAAGCCAAAAATGAATCAAAAAACCTCATATGGAACTTCTTCCCCAACCACAAAATCTAGACAAGTATAGATTTCATGGACAGACTTGACCTCTGGGGTTAAATAATAATTGCTTACATAATTTAACAACTGCTCATTAGTCAAGCCAGGCTAGGTTTTGCTACTATAACAAACAACCCAGGGATCTTAGAGGCTTATAACAAACAAGTTTCTGGTCAGGCTATATGTCTATCATAAGCCAGCCATGACTCTTCTTTATGTTAAATTCACCCCAGCACTCAAGCTTATAGAGCATCCTCTATCTGGAATACTGCTTATTATGGTGGCAGAGAGAAGACAGGCATGACAAACACACCCCGGCTCTTAGAGCTTTCCTTGCAAGAAATCTGTGCCTTTTCCATTACACTTTGTGGTCCAACATATGCTCTCTCCTGAGTTCAACAGGACAGAAATATATAAAACTCCCTCAAGGGAGGGCACCACGGGGAAAAAAAATGAAATATTTATGTTATAGTACTACAAGCTCCCATAATTATCAAGTGGCTAATTTATTCCAAAATGTACATATACATCCTTTGCTGTCCTGTCTTATTATTTCCATTTCGAAATATTGTCTTTAACTGATCTCTACTAAGATTTAAATATCCTGTTTTTAGGCTCCTAAAGAGAGAAATTGCAGCTCTCAGATGCTCTGCCACAGAGCTTTCCAATACAGTTTTACCAGGAGTAAAGCTGACATCTTAATTTGTTCCTAAATTCTGTGTCTATTTCCTATTTCTTACACGGGTCAGAACTTGTGGGAGAGAGCAGAGTGACTGAAGTCAGCCTCCAGCCCCAACGTCTACCTCAGAGTTTCCCTCATAGTTCTACTAATCAGAGAATAACTGTCTCTGGAAAGGAAAGCAGAAATCTTTAAGCAGAGGATTTAACTTGCTTTATCCCATTTAATCCCTATAAGAACCCTGTCCAGTAAGTATTATAATTGTCATTTAACAGATGATGAAACTAAGACTCAAATAACCTAATCAATTGATCAGAGCAAGGCTTTAAACCCATGCCTCTCAGCCAACTGGCAGTGCCTTTTCTCTATCCTGCACTCATCTCTCATTTGAATACAGGGGCTAGCCATGAAAGGATCACGCTGTTTGGTACAGGTGTTCTCATTTTCATCATTCAATGTTCATTTTCTTTGGCATTTAGAGGGTAAGCATACTTAAAAACCAAGATCAGGCCAGGTGTGGTGGCTCACACCTATAATGCCAGCACTTTCAGAAGCCAAGGTAGGAGGATCACTTTAGTCAAGGAGTTCAAGACCAACCTGAACCACATAGTCGAACCCCGTCTCCACAAAAACAAATTAGTTAATTAGCTTGGCATGGGGTAGCATGTGTGTAGTGCCAGCTACTCAGGAGGATTGCCTGAGAGAGCCCAGGAAGTCAAGGCTGCATTGATCCATGATCACATCACTGTACCCCAGCCTTGGTGACGAAGGGAGACAAATAAATAAAAAGACCCAAGGTCTGATGTCATATCCTCATAGAAACCCACCTCATTATCCCTCTTCTCGGCTGAGATGGGCACTGTCATTCCACTGTGTGACTACCAATCCTCCCCCACCCCCCACCCCCCCACACACACAGAGTTTCTTTAGGGTAAGAACAAGTTACTGTTGGTTGTACCATGAGAGCCTAGTATAACCTGTCATTGGCCTCACCGTTAATTTGACAAAGATAAGTAAATGAGTCAACTGTACATATAGATTCAGGCTTGGTCAAAGAAGACTCAAATCAATGTATTAAATCAGATAGAGTACAAATACAGTTGGAGCTAGATATCACTGAAGAGGGGAAGAAAACTAATTGAGAACAATTGGCCTGGGTCTTAATTGTGGCTCAATCACTACCTACTGTTGTCATTTTGGTGCTTTAGTTTTCTCAGCTATTGAATAAGAAGATAGGAATAGATGATCTTTAAAACCCCATCAGCTTTGAATTTCTTTTGTTCTGGGAGGTGACTGTTCTTCTCAGCCACCATAAGGAACCAGAAGGGTACCTGTGGATCCTTTTGCTACTTCAACTAGTGTCAAGACTAACCAGTCAAATCAACCTCTCTAAAATACCTCTTCACCATGTTATCTTTCTGTTATAATATACCCATTATCTAGGCCATTCATATTTCTTCTATCAGCAGACCTGATGTTAGAAATTCAATCCTATCTCTCATTTCTTATAAAAAGACAAATAGCAGGGTCACATAAGTCAGCAAATCAAAGACTTAGTTGGGACCCTAAATCAAATGCAGGAACACAGCAGAAAATAGATATCAAGGGGAGGCTGAGGGAGGTAACAAGTTAGGAAACAAGATGCCAACGAAGAGGAAAGAGATTAAAATTGAGGTAAGACATGCTGTAAGGAAATCTAAGTACATTTCCTAGCACAGTAGGAGACAGGTCAGTCCAAAGATCTAAACAACTCCACAAATATTATTGGCTATTTGTTAGGTGCCAGCTACTTTGCTGGATACTGAAGACTCAAGCAGACAGAAAACAAGAAAAAGTGGAAACCAAGAATTAAAATACAATGTATATGCTATGATAAGGACACAGACAAAGGACTATGGCACAAACGAAGAATGCAGTGAACTTCTGAGTAAGCCAGGAGAATTTTTGCAGAATTTGAATAAGTGAGCCTAGTTTCCAAGAGTTTCCAGGATCTTCTCAAGTAGACAGCACAGGAAGTGATACAAAGTATGAAAGACCATAGTGAGTTGGTGGAATGGCAAGAATTTCGAGGTCATTGGAAAGTGAGAAGAGGTGGACACTAGGAGGATGACACTGGAGAGAAACTGGATGATGAAAGATTTCCTTTGCCAAGTATCAGTTAACAGTGGGAAATTAATAAGGAGGCAGTTCTACCCAGAGACCAAAGCAAATGCACAACCTGCTCCAATCCCCAGGCTTCAGAAAATCCCCTCTGGCTCTTGTGCAGTTGTTCCTCTCACCACAGCACAAGAAGTCTGTGGGGCCAACTGAACATGCTCACCTGGAGCCTTTTCCCGAACCGTTCCCACTTCTTCTTCCCTTCCTAACTTCCATAACCCCCTTCCAGCCCACTGTTCTAAACTATACTCCAGGTAATTACTGCTAACCACAGAATTACACAGATGCCCTCAAATCCACTTCCTGAGCTTGTGACAGTTTCTTTCCCAACTCCATTCTACCAAGCACAGACCTCACTGCTGGTGTGTGTCCTCTAGGCACGGAGAGAAAGCCAAGGGCTACTGTTGGCCAGAGGTAGTGTTACAGATAAAACCTGGATATCTGAGTGGGGGCAGAGCTGGATGCAAAGAGAAGCAGGAATAAGATAAGGGAGAACCGCAGGTTATAGGTAGCAGCTTCTATTTGTACATTTACCCATGGAAATGTCAGGGTCGAGTTTGTAGGGAGATTTCAACTTTTAAGCATTTCACATAATTTTCTTAACTGTAAGAAATACCTGATTCTTGTATATGTTATTATAGATATTTGTACTAAAATTAACATCTTATTTCTTAATAGCTTTCATGCTGAATTACATTAATTGCCTTTCCTGCACCTTCAAGAAAGCAGCCTTCAACCTTTAAAATTTTCTAAGAGCCCTAGACCTCCAATACAGTAGGAAGTCTACTCACGTTGCAAAGGCGGAGCCATGGGCCTTCAGAGGATGCCTTGGCCTATGGCATGAGTGAATGAATGTGAATGGAACGAACATTTTCCTACCTGCTTGAGAGATTTGATTTTGGCATTGTTTTAGGACTCAAATCCTTGGCTTTGGCACCACTGCAGTGAATTGATACCTTGCTGTAGCTGCCTCCGAACTCTGCTTTAAATTGAATACAAAACATTGGAGTGCTGCACAGGCTCTTATTTCCTTTTCATTTATTTCCAACATTCAACACCAATACAACATTGTTGCTATGGATGCCTCACCTCCCTAGGTACCTCACTTCCCTAGGTACCTCACTTCTCTAGGACTCCTAACATAGCAAACATCCAATAAGAGGAATAACTACATTTTTGCAAAATTCAGTATCTTTGGCAGATTCTCCATGATGGACTACATTGCTTTCACCTATTTTCTCAACAGCAAAGAAAGGTCTTACTTTTCTCAATTTTTAGAAGGTTAAGCTGCACATTTGGAAGAAGAGAACAGAGCATCTCTTAATAAGGCAGGAACTGTACAGCTTACAGTAACTTTGGAGAAAAGAAGTAGCTGGAAACTCACAGGAAAGACACAGATGGGCTCTGTGAGAGCTTGATTTGCTTTAACATCCTCTTGTGTAACTGTCTCAACTGGCTTCGAAAAGACAGTTGTTGGAAATGTAGTTTATGATTCAACTAAAAGTATTCACTGAAGCATATGTTTCTTGGTTGTTAATAGTTGTTTCAAAAAAGAAAATATGTGTGTATTCATTCTTAAAATACTTTACATTCAATTTTGGTTGTAACTTTGACTGCACAATCCATTTGATGGAAAAACAAGACAGAGAGCTAAGAGGTCTGTGATTTTTATGGCTTCCTGTTTATTCATCAGCCTCCTAATTTCTTTTCACCTACACAGTTACTGAGGAGAATTAAGGCTTTTGCTCAATTTGGCATGCAGGAATAACTTCTTCAGATAGGTTTTTCTTTGTGATACTGAGAATGCATCACTGGTATAACTTTTTAATCAAAACTTATTTCCAAAGTCATTTTAAGGCACAAATTAAA